AGGACCCGCATGGTGTGGTGGTGAACGCGTTACTCCCCGGAAAGGATAATAGCGCGTTCGTTCCCCACCATAGACACCTGCGGTCCAGAGTTTTGCAAATATCTCAGCAACATTGTGGTTGTATTTCGCTTAGTAACCTGCCATGAAAATTATAGAAGGCAGAAAACAAAACGTTAAAACATTGTGATTTCAACTACAGCCATAGCTTAACTGGGTTCTATGCCGATCTGCGCTCCCCAGATCAACCCCGCTGACGGGTGATTGCTGTGGCAAAAAGATCGATAGAAATAGCTGAGAGACGTGCGAAACAAAGGACCCGCATGGTGTGGTGGTGAACGCGTTACTCCCCGGAAAGGATGATAGCGCGTTCGTTCCCCACCATAGACACCTGCGGTCCAAAGTCTGGTACAGTTTACCGACCCGGAGGCGTGGAGGGATTGGCGGATCTGGGGTCCGGGGATCGATCCTATATGTATTGCAGGACGCCTACGACCACTGCGCCACATGCGCCTTTATTCATTTTACTAATACATTTAAATATTAGGACGGTTTTCGTTGTGTGGCCGTGAAAAAAATCTTAAAAACTTGTGCCTGTAGAAATTTGACGAGTCTTTAACGTTCATTGCTACTGTGCTGATTCGTCACCAAGGCATTAACCTTGTACACAGTGCGTTGATATTACTTCTGGCACTCCTGAAGTGATGTTCTATTATAAATGTGTTTGTTTTGGCATCGATCGCCTTTATTCGTGCAATTGACCTCGGTGACCGGTTCTATCGTGACCGAATACTGTAGCTCATACTAGGTAAATTGCAAAAGCACACAGTCTTGACACAAATTTAGGGATCTGGTTTCGTATGTTGAAGTAGTAAAGATTGTTCCCTTCTTGAGCTGACATTGATGTACTTCCTGTTGACATTTATTCAGATGGAAACGGCGGTCTGTATTCTGCATTAGCAGCACATTTGCCAGAGATGAAATTACGTGGTGTGAAGTATTTTCATGTTTACTGTGTCGATAATATTCTCTGCAAAGTTGCTGATCCACATCTGCTTGGTTTCTTTATTGAGAAGCGAGCTGATGTTGCAACGAAGGTGAATGAATCTTAGTCTTAACTGCTTACCTGTTGATTTAGTTCAGCTTTTTCAAAGTTCCGAAGTTTTTGCGTTGTACTGTCCTTTTTCTTGGGTTGTTTTCCTTCTAAAACAGTCCTGTTTCTGGTTTGTTTCCTTGATTGAAGCTGCTCGCTATGCGCAACAATAGCGGGTGTCTTTGTGCTTTCTATGGTACCTCATTCACCGTGGAGGATCAATGAATGAGTAGAGAATTATGAAGCATATCGACAGTCACTCGAAACAGAAAGAGGTGTCTTTATGCATTCTTTCCCTGTGTGGTCACCAAAACTATTGTTTTTGTAAACAAATTGCAAAAATCACTGCTTTACTGGTTAAGAATAAGGAGATCACCTAATGAAACTAGGCGGTTGATGAGTTTCCCACCTTGAAATACGAAATAAACCATCCTTAGGATGATTAAAGGAAAGTTACTTGCTACTCTGCTACTAGGAAGGTCCTATATGAAACTAACACAAAAGATTTCGGAAATGAGACTTTTTTTTCTTCCCTCCCTATCACTGAAAACTTGTTCATGATTCAGTTTTTTGCTGTTTTTTCATTGTTCACGTTACTTTTCATCCAGTTGTTCCTAATTTTTTTTCTACTTTTGTCTTGGATTTTTTATTTGTTTGGATCTTATCGAGGCGTATGGTCGTGTGCAATGATTGAGTATCCATGCAAGGTGGCAGACGCAACAAGAGCGGTTTGCGTTTGGAATGACTATTAGAGGGATTAGCACAAAACCGATAGCTGCATACTTTGCTATTAGGAACGATATTGCTTAGGTCACCTCACCGCTTCTTATGTTCCTGTTGCGCAAGGACACACTGTCGACAATGTACTGTAACATCTGCCTACGACTCGATCATATTTCGAGCTCTTGAACTTGGCAAGAGACGTGTCAAGAGGGTTACTACCATTACTCTTCGTTTCGATTGTTATCATATTTTTAGTTTAGACAAATTGGTTGGTGTTAGATTTCTTTTAGGTAGTGATGTGCTTTGTTAGGTATTTTAGAGTCATTTTAGCAAAGAATAAAAAGGAACTGACTTTTGTTAGTGGGACGTTTTGCGCTGTAAGTGGCAATCAGTGTTCGTCCCTTTTATTATGTGATGCATTTGGGGCTTTGCATTTCTTCGTCGTAGCTTCTCAAGTGCTCTTCCAATTTGGCCGCAGGCTGTGTGCAGTGGAATGATGAACGATTGTCAACAGCCATCAATTTATTGGTTTTCGCCCGACTAACTGAAATTAATATTGCGACTTAATATGTGCTTAGAATCGCCGAAGTTTCAAGTCGGATAGCTTTTAATTGACAATATCATTATATTTTAAAAATCGACTGGGATCAACGCGGCTTTAAGGAAGGCGAAAACGTCGAAACGTTAGCCGGGGAAAGGTTTTATACCAACTTCTTGTCCGCTCAGTTATGTAGAAGACTATTGAATGTCGTTATATTCTAGACAATTCTCAAAAAACCAGGCGAGTTGGTGGGATCAGTGTGCCTGGATAATGGCTGTCCTCGAGTAGTTGAGTACAGCGAATTAGGTGCTGAGTTGGCAGAGCGAAAAACGGATGATGGTCGGCTGCTTTTCTGTGCAGGATCTATAGCTAATCATCTTTTCTCTTTAGATTTCCTTGAAAGGTCCGTTTTTGTTTGTCTATATACACTTTTTAACCTGTTTTTTAAAGTTGTTTTCTTTAAGTCTCAGTGTTGCTTTTATAGCTTTTGCTCTGAAAATTTTCGCCTTCCTTATCATCGTGCGTCGAAAAAAATTGCTCATTTATCTTCGGATGGGAAAATAATGAAGCCAGTCAGCCCAAATGGCATCAAACTAGAGCAATTTGTGTTTGACGTTTTTGAACGCAGCAAGTGAGGAAGATTAAGGTTTACCTTTTTATTTTGTTACGGTTATTTTGAATCTCAGAAATTTCTACATTTGGGAAGTGGAGCGTGAGGATGAATTTAGCCCTTTAAAAAATGCCGAATCGGCTGGTAAAGAATGTCTTAGTACATGTAAGAAGGATCTCGCTTCATTGAATAGGTGAGTCGTTTCGTGATAACTCGTTCACTGAAGTTTTCTTCCGTAACTTTATTGTCATTAATTCAGGAAGTGGCTAGAATCATCTGGTGCAAAAGTAATAGGGGATCCGATTTATCTTCAAACTTCTGTCAGTTATTGTGGCGAGGTTTGAATTTTATTAGTTGATGTCGTCTGTCGAGTACTTGGCGTTCTACTAATGAAGTGTTTCCGCATTGATTTTTCTCGTTTCCGCCGGCTTTTTATCCATACAAGAATTGTTCAAATAGCGTATTTTAGGGACTTGATCGTTTCAAAGGCCAATTGGTTTTTGGACCACTACTAAAATAACACTTGTATTTCCTGTTTTTGTATATTTCGGCTTAACTTATATATCATTTATAGCCGGTTAGTCACCGGCAAATGCCATGTATTTGTTTTTAGCTTTAGATATGTTCATGTTATTGTCGCCGTAGATTACAAAAGATGTAATGAATTTCGGATGTGCCGAAACGATATTATAAGTATTGTCAGCTTTGTTTTCATATGAATTTTGCTCATTTTCAAGCAGATTTATTGTCAGCAGTTGTCAACAAATCTGTGTTTGGTACAATTATGAGATTGACAAGCTGTCGTTTGTTCGCTGAAACACTCTTGCAGCTGCGAAATCGTACATTGTAGTGAAAGAATGAGTTTACGATTTGATTGATAGTTCGATGAAAGGAGGTATTGGTTACTGAAATTTGTGACATTTTTTAAGAGATATAATGATGCGTTAAATGACTCTAATAAAGTGTGTAATATTTTCTCAGTGAACGATTACTTTCTCATCTAACTTTTGCCAAGGAGGCCTGAGCATGTCCGTTGCAATAAGTCCATTTGGTTTTGAGTCAAATAGAATATTTTTAGAGCAACTATTGATTTTAGGAGGCTTTTGTGGATGGACTGCTTCTTATCTGTTGATCCCCGTTTGCAAAGCAGTACAAATAACGGAACAATTAAGTAATAACAGTAAGAAAATCAGAAAATATGCAGTGAAACATGTTTTTTCCAGAGACATGTTCAAGTGTTGTTCCAATGTGTACGTCCAAAGCTGAGCCGATACTTCAGACATTTTCGGTCTGAGAGTCGCAACAGTAGAAAGAATAAAGTGTGACATTCGTCAACGCTCAGAATGAATTGAATGGGAACTTCATTGATGGGAACATTAAGAATGAGAATTACTCACTACCAGCGTTTCAAGGATTTCCAACTATATCCGTATCATGTATAGATTTCAAAAGGTGGAATTCAGTTTTTAAAACCGATTGTGACAGTATTGTCTTGCGAAATTCACTTAGGCATCGCAAGGCCAGCTGTGAATTGCGCAGAACATTGATGGTAGCGTGTGATTTGCTCCCCACGTAGGTAGAACAACTCGTGGTTCCGAACTTATTGTGTAGAGAGTTGAATGGACGGTGCTGAATGCTCGATGGGAAAGCGCATTTTCATTTCGCGCGCCCACCCACCCCGACACAACGAGACCTCTGTTGCCGATTGTGTGTGTATCCACTGGCATTACAAGCATCCATCCCAACTCTCTTCCGCTTTTTCATTTCACTTTTCACTTCTCTGTCTTTTCAAAAAGCGGTGGAGACTTAAACAGGCTTCTTTTTTATAGTCTCGGTACTTCAGGATCTGCACACTATAACCGTCAGTAGCCGAAGATACTTGTTTGAAACTTGAGGCAAACATTAGAAGAGTGCGTCGAAAATTTTTACTTATTGGATATCTAAAATGGTTTTGTCCTTGTCGAAGACGGTTTAGCTGACAGAGTTTGTACCCAATACCTAGGAGTTGAAATTGCAAAGATACCTGTGAACAGCACCTCTCTTATGGATAGGATATTGTGTGAATTTCTAGCTCATCATGTTTAATCTAAAGATTGCCAACTGCGGGTCGTTTTTTGCACTGAGTCATTCCTCTCCGACATCGGATGCTGCTGCTGCACTCCTGGAGATCTCATTGAGCTATCGCGGTTCAGTTGATGTTTTAATGTCTGTTCTTGTGGTCAGCTACCTTTGTCGGCTCACCCTACCTTGTGATGTCACACTGCACCTTAGTAAGACATACTATGTTCGTAGTTTTGGTGCCACCAGGGCGGTGTTTTTTGTTTCTCATGTCGCAGTCGTTGTCGCGATAATCCATGCCATGAGTAACGATCATCCGCTGTAATACCGTATCGATGGTAGAAAGCCACATCTTCGTATTGTCCAACTATCATACAGTCAGTGGTGCTGATTCAAGATATGATACTCACTTGAAAAGTAAGAAACGTGGTCATAGAAACTTCGACGACAAGAACATGGGCACGACGTGATTTAACTTCTCCTATAACTAGCAATAACTTTCCAACACCACTGAAAATTCCACAAGTTTGTGAGATTTCGGTGGATTTTAGCCAACCAAGTGGACTTTTCTTCTTGCAAAACAAAAAATCCAGAGACGACCTTTTTTTTATAAACTTGACAGCCACGTTTGTCATTCACGAATAGCGAAAAATGAATTATAAACTATACTGTATTGAAAAAATTGTTCTGCCCTCCCATTAGAAAAAAAAGTGAAAATGAGGGCAGTTCGAATCCCGTTCGCTTTGTAAAACAGCTTTACGTAGATTCTGGGTCATGCACTCTACAGTTCCAGAGACACTATTCAGTCTTACGTGGCCAAACGTGTTTTGAAGTCTTCAATGCACCTTTTTATCCTAGACTGGCTACTCCTACCTTTGATATGGCGAATTATTCAGAGAGCGCTACTAAAGTTGATAGGTAGGTCTTCCTCAGCTAGCAACCGATCCGCTGACGACCGATCAGTGAAGCACGAGTAATTCGTAAATCGCGCAGCGATTATCTATAGTCGCGCACGAATCGCGGCGGCTTTCCGCCAAGCGACATTTAGTCGGCGTAATAGGCAGTCGCTGAAACTATTATATCGTCATAGTAGTATCAGAGTCATGCTATTCAGGTTACAGAAACACTTCTCTTGATCAACTATGTAGTTTCATGAAAGAATTTGGCAGGGTAGACTGTATATCATTTCGACTTCTCCAGGCTCTGAGGAAGACGAGATTCGCCGAAACATTAACCACTGAGAAAAAATGTTATAATAACAAAATAGTCACTGTCTATTGAAGAAACAGTTGCTACAGAGCCTACCGAAACAGTGAACGTAGACGCTAAGGTTCTTTATCTGAGTTTGGAGAAGACTGTATTTTGGAGCGCATAAACCATATTTTTTGCGCTTACTTTTTATAGGTACACGTACTACAAAAACAGGCAAATATCCGCAAATAAATGTTCACTCATCGAACAATTGACGATGGAGAAGATGGGAGTCATTCACTCTGCCGGGTAGGCGTGACGGCACCGTAGGAGTTGGCCAATGACGGCCGCCGACTTGTAGTGAGTTCGACCCGCCCCTCAGAAGGCAGTCGTCCATATTGGTCGCCATGACTTCTCAGCCAAGCAGTGAGTCTTGATTACGGTATTCTAAACAACAACTTCGGATTTTTTGAAGTTCACTTAATCCATCGCCTACTGATTCTGTTTTAGTATTAATTTAACTAATAATTACTTAATTTCTTTCATTTCTCATTCCTTAGGGACTTTTTTTGAACGTATTGACAGCTCAGTGTGAATTTCGATAGTTCATGCTACAAAGCCTAAGAAAAATTACCCACATTAGTGTTTTCCATTCACATAGAGGAAACAATGCATCGTGCCTCTCCGAGAGAATTTAGAAATTGCCTGCAGGTCGGATTCTTCCCGATGTGCCGTGCCGAGTGTGTCAAGACCATAGTTCTGGAAAGCATTATGGAATTTTTTCTTGCGATGGTTGTGCTGGATTCTTCAAAGTTAGTGGACCGCGTTGATCGGTTTCGCAGATTTGCTTATTAGTTAGATTTATAGCGCTCGATCAGACGACACAGGCAATATGTGTGTAAAAATAAAGGAGGCTGTGAAGAAGGACGATGTATCGTTGATAAAACGCATCGCAATCAATGCAGGTAGCATTTGAATTTTCTCTATTGATGTCAGTTAGACAGTACTTTGCAGAGCTTGTCGATTGAGAAAATGTTTGGAAATTGGCATGAATAAAGAAGCAGTACAGCATGAAAGAGGGCCACGGAATTCGAGTCTAAGGCGGCAGAATATGTTGCTTGAGCATCCGCGATTAGCATTGTCGGTATGGATATTAGTTATTTCTGCATAGAAGACAAGAAACAAAAGACAACTTCTTCGTTCCTTTTTTCCTTACTCATCATTCATCTTCATGTAACCAATGAGCTCCCTCGTAGAAGACCCGCATTGTTTACTATGCTGACTCATTGTCTGCACAACCTATATGCAGTGAGGTCTTGTTTTTTAAGTTAGGCTGTGCTCTTCAGTCTTGGATCGGGTTAATATATTGAAGTATTATCTTGAAATGAAAACGTCACTGAGCTAATGTGTGGTCTGCTCTAGGTTAATAACAAACTTCATTTTTTATTCTCTTCTCACTCATGCCTCTCAAATAACCTTGAAGTTAGGAGCTTTCCTTCTTACTGTCAGATATCCAATTATTAATCTACTATAGTTTTCGGTATTCGATGAAACTCAAGCTGGTATCGTTTATATTCTTCCAATCCATTTACTTACCTCTATACCACAATCTTTTTACTAAATCTTGCAACCACCAGCTGGTCGCGCTACAAATTCACCGCTAGCATCTGCTGGCATCGGGAGTGCTAAAAACAAACCGAAGGATACGGTATGACTGGTGAGACATCGTAGCGGTTTGATATCGGTGATTCGGACGATTTTTCGATGAATGGTTGACGCAGACTTTGGTCGCGACAATGATACATATTTGTTGGGAAATGTAGTGAGAAACTGAAAAAGAACAACTGAACATCAGATTGACCAAAAGGATCCGCGGAACGTAGTCATAATATCGATGATTGACGAGTTGTTTTTACTGAGTCGAGTTTAATCAGGAGCCGGATCACTGCTATCAAGCTTCACATAGTCATCCGGAATCTCATCGATATCGATCCTGGCCTTGAAATCAGCGGTGTATGAAGTTTTCTTTGTTTGTGTCCCTCGACGGACACCAGTAGTGAAATCGGTTGTATTTGCCTGTTATATTAAATGCTGAAGGCTTGAAGTACAAAGATATTCCCGACTTTTCCCTCTGATACCGTCAATGGAAAGCACTATTCGATGACCTCGTAGTGCCTTTGTTCAATCATTTTTTTCATTCATTTCATCACTTCAACATTTTTGCGTTCACTTTTTTGGACAAAAGTAGTGACCTTCAACTTCTTGGCTCCTTTTAGAAAGGGGAATCCAGAAATTTTGCTGTACGGTTAGCGTTAGTTTACTAAATGGAAAGGAGAAGAGAAGAGGATAAAGTGGTTCGGTGGCCACTTGTCGGCCCGATTTCGACTTCATCATTGTTCTCGAAGGGCTTTGCTGCTTAGCTTCTCCACACCATGCCCTTCCTTTCTTCTCCGAATCTTCAAGAAAAGTAGCACGAGTAGCTCTTGCTCATGAGGGTGCAGCATCACCAAGCAACCTGTGATTCACTCGTGGAGATTTCGGCATTGTTTTGGTTTTTTCTGTAGATCTCATTGCTTTATCGATTATGCTTTTTCTTAGTAATATGTTGCTGATCACAGAAGAACTAGCAAAACTGTTTGGTGCCGCATTTTCTTGAGTTTCGTTAGGTGTCATTCTTTCCAAATGCTTCAAATATATCAAACGGTCCTATTTTTTTCTTAGGATATTAGCAAAGTTGTGTAATTTCATTCGTTTCTATGCCCGGCTTCAACACTGCTAGTCATACCGGTTACGACAAACTAGAAACTGCTGTTGAATAATAATTTTGAATGAATCATAGTGAATTAATGACTCCATTAATCACAAATTTCACTTATTTTCCCTCTTTGGGAAACATATAGTGATAAACTTCGGCTCTAAGAGACTATGATATGTTTGACCATCTCATCTAAACACTGCTGCTACTTCAGCCGGACCTGGGCTCAGAGTCGGACGCCTCACCTCCTTGTTTCGAGAAGTTGCCTGAAGTAGCGGCTCGAGTGTTCTTCCAGCTAATCACTTGGACACGGTACCAGCTGCCATTCGCATGTTTACCAGTTGAGAGGCAGGTTGGTGATCGTGGTTACACAGATGATCATGGATAACCAAACTTGATATTACTTTAAAATTTGCTGGAGCCCCAGGTGTGCAAATTTGTACCCACTTAAAAAAATGTTTTGGTTGTCATAATACCCTATGGAACTAAATAAAAAGCCTTGACCAAGGTATTCGGCCTGAAAAGTAAACTTTTCGCTCATGAGTGTGTATCGTTTTAGATCGCTACGTTGCAGCAGTGCTGGCCTGCGCTTTTTGTACTTACTTGTGGAGAACGACCGTTCATCACGTCACAGCAAATTTACGCCGATCCGACGGATTTCGTCAAGGAGAAAGCCGAGGTTCGCCTGCAAATGCGCTCCCATTATTGCTGCTGTTCAGTGGGTGTGTATTTGGAAGTTTAGGTCGCCGAATGCTTCGAGAAGATGGAGTCATTGCGACTAGACGCTAGGGAACACGCAATTCTTAGAACGTATGCGTTGATGAAAGGTATGCTCATTGATAACGGCAAATATAATTGCTAAACTTGGACTCCAGATGATTCTCTCTGTGATATAAACATTTTTTCCAAGTATTACATCTGTTATAAGCCGTTTGCTGAGAGCGGTTTCGGTGAAGCTACCGTCTCTAGAGCTACAGTGGCTTAAGCGAAGTTCAACTTTTTATTTAAGAACTTTTTTCTCAGTTGTGTACACTTACAGTAGTCTGGTTCAACAGAAATGACTTCCTCCGATACGGTGTTTTAATGGGTCGTTGATTCCTATAGTAATATTTCCGTCCTAACTGCTCATGTATCATATTCTGACTAGAAATTACCTTCTATTAAGCAATACATCATAGCTATATGCTCTAACGGACGAGATTGGAAGACATTTATGGCTATTTACTTCCCGTAATTCACTCAGTTCACCTAGGTGAAATCTCTCTAATGGAAAACTTTTTTGGCTTTTCCGCTTCCGAACAAAGTAATATCGCTTTTATATTATAGAAGAGTTGAGACTCGACTATATGCCTTAGAGATGTTATTGAAAATGGGAAGATATCCAAACATTTTTATCCTAAGGGATTGAAAACTCCAATGTATTGGGGAACTTCTCAGTACTACAACATTATGCGTCATGTAACAAAAAATCCTATCAACCTCCTTTTAGACGATTTCTCTCCTCATCAAATCAGATTTCCAATCCTATTCGATGATGAATACCATAATAAATTTTTGTTAATGGTGATATCCTCCTCTCTGCATTCGCCGTATGTAGAAGGCGAAAGCGTTTGTGCCAAATTCTAGATCATTGCACGGAGAACTGGCTCTATAAGGATTCCATACGATAGGCACGTTTCTGTATTTACATGGTTCGAGTTGGTGAATGACGATTTGGAACAGATGTGCTGATGAGCGACGCGACTGTGGAAGTCGTGAGAGAGGAACCAGACGTGTCGCCGTATCGCCGGATGGACGTCGTCGACATACAATCGCTTCGCGATTACTGTAATCGGTGGTCGGTCGCCAGTCTGATGAAAAACGGGGCGGCTTCGTTTTGCTATGCTTCCTTTTCTCGACAGTCTCACCGTTTCTCTTTCTACGAAACTCTTTTCTGAGCAATTTTCAGCTCGAAATGTGTTCTCTCACAGTCACTGACTGTGCTAGAAAACTGAAATTGAAAGAAGGAATATTTGACAACAGTTTTTGCTTGTAGACACTCCGTCGGCATATCAGCTTGGCTTCCAGCTGGCCGCCTACCACCAAGTTGTCTATCGAGCTGATCCACTCCGATTTCTGAAGTTAGTACAATTAAAGTTATATTTTTTGTATCGTATTTTACAATCTCCTTTAAATATGTAATGAAAAAATCTAACAAATGAAAATCTTCAAGGTTTTAGTTTTTCAAGGTTCACAAAACACCGCGTCGTATTTAGCATCGATCCGAAAATCTTTGAAGTCATTGCTAGTTGTTGATATCATGAGTTTTTCGATCCAAATATGACTCAACAACGCTGTAAAAATATTGTTATTTCTGAAAACATCGGAGGAAATCAACCATGCTGACTCAGAGCTTTTCCTATTATCAACTAGTGCGTGGCTAAGTTTTCGTGCTTTAGAAAGCACTGTTGCATTGTTAGAGTTAAATGAAATTTTCGCCGGTTAAAAATCTACTGAAGCTACCTAATAGTTCGCCATGTTTTCCAAATGGCTATTGAGCGAGATAATAGTGAATTATAGAACGTGAACTTGCAGGTGCTTGGATGTGCTGTCAATTTCTGCCGATTCAGTGGTTGCCGTGTTATTCCGTCCGTCCATCGGCAACGCTTCAATGTCAAGGTTGATTTCGGACATCATGAACCCGAACAAACCTGGATTAATGGCACTACCTTCAGCACGGGGCCATCCCACTACTTCCAGGACTGACTTCTGCGTAGAAGGCCTTCTCGGCAGGAGTACATCCACTCCAGACATCGTTTCCACTAGACGAGAAGCAGGAGTTGTTAGTCCTGAGAGTTTTAGTGGGACCGAGGAGGCGTAGTGTGAATCTCTCTATCTTAGTACAATCTGTATAGTAGAAACTTGCCCGAAATATTGATTTACTCTTTTTTTTGGAAAAGCCCACACTTATCGCAATGTGCTCGTTTGTAAAAAGTTTGTCGGCTGCACATGATAATCAAAATTTGACGGTGGAATGATAAAATCGATCACTCTGAAGTAATGCAATCTATCGATTAATACAATTTTTTGCCAAGTTGAACAGTGACTTAAGAAATATTGATCAGTACTTTCACGCAAAACCGTGGTCGACCGTAACTGCTATAGCGTTGTTAGATAGAACTCAGAGAGGCCTTAAAAGAGGTTTACTCGCTAGTAAGTGAATTTAAGCAGATTGCCGTTCCATGTCTTACATAGAGGGAGCAACCACCATTGCCTAGTGAACGTCACCGTCACACAAGCAGCAAGGGTACTACGGTGTGTGGTTCCCTGTCCGTCGACGAAAATCGTTTGCGGTTGGGTCCTGCAGCTAGATGCTTCTTGTCTCCAACCTCCGTTTTCCGCTGCTTTCAGCCGCTTTTTATTGTTCGTCACAGCATGTCATACATCCAGTTTCATAGCTCTACATTTTTGATATTATTTTGCATACAAGTCCACTTGTGTGAAAATAAACCCGTGGTTTTACCCCGTTCTTACTTTTTTCATGAACTACATGGTGGAGCCACCAGTAGTAGAACAACAATTACTGGTAATTAGTTTCATTGGTGTTTAATTGCATGTGTAAATGTGTTTGTTTTAACATACACGAGGTGTTCCTGTGGGGAGACAACAAGGTGACAATGAACTGCTAATGACGTCTGTCCGTAGCGCAACAACTACAGGTGAGCACCACCACAACGCTGCCACTCCGCCGGCCACCGATGTCGGCGTTGTCAGGAATGTAGACCAACTCTCAGAATTTTGTCATATCTCATCAAATGCAGCTGAATTTATGCTTATAAATTTGATTATAAATGCCGATAAGGTAGCATTGCGTTCTTGTTTTTGGAAAAAAGTGCCAAACATTCCTGGAGACATCCACTTTTTTTTCACAGTGTTGTTTGCAAATATGGGATCACAATATTGGAACATTTCTTTGTGAAGAAGAAGTAGAATTTGATCGTGGACAAAATTCAGCGACAACGAGGTTTTTTTGCTCTTCACGGCTTGTAAACCCCATTTAAGCTGATGTCTCATTTAAGCCGAGTGCCCGAATAATTTATGTTTTCATTAACCTTGGGCAGCAGAATTTCTATATCGGGTTAATCCATAGTGTAAAAAGAATTATTTACGGACTCATTACTGTTTTGCAGACATAAGTGGTTTCGTGTGGATTATCGCAGCTATGATGACTTGAAGGGGAAATATTCCATCGAAGGGTCGAGCTTCTTATGCAGAGCGATGCAACCGCAATACCAACCAGTAACGGATAGTCTTTAACATTACCGTATTTGAGAACAGAATATCGTAACAACAA